AAAGTTTAAAACGCTACTGTATTAAAAAAAACATTACGCTAAAATATGTAGGAAAATCGTGGCGAAAAACTAGTTAATGATACTGATGCATGATGACGACTAACTGCAAGACGGACACGGAGAACATAATAAATGTTTTTGCTAAGTGGAGAAATTTCTCGCTCATTTGCACGCTAAGTAAATGAATACTTGCATTTACAAAATGGATACCATTGACTCATGTTAAAGTTTAACATGCAAATAAATTGCAACCATGATCTCGGACTTTCTCTTAAATGTCTAATTTCTCTTTTTACTGCTACATACGTACTTCAGTTGCATTCTTGTTTTTATTTTCTAATGCACCTGTGTAATAATTGCTGGCGTATGTACTTAAGTTTAGATTGTTGAGTGATAGGGTCCGGGTTCGATGGGAGGGTGAAATTGGAATTGCCATTTTCGAGGTTTTTTCTTCCTACAATATGATTACCTATAAAAATAGACAAGGCACATTATGTCTAACCAGTTGTCTTAAAACTACAGATGTAATTATGTTCAATAAAACGTAACAAAATTAAACTTTATAAATACTAGATCCTATCTAATAGTAATTATAGTTACATTAACTAATTTTAAGTTAGCCCTTGTTTGTGTAGTTTTATGGACACCTGTTCAGTTAATTTAATTTAATTTTAATTAAATACGTTTGTTTTGACTATAGCTTTCGCGCATTCAAATCTCATTTCCATCTCACACTTTGACGTAGAGGCTGCAATAAAAACCCCAACGTTACACTATATTATTCTTTCAACATGGTCAAATAAAAACCATAAATTAGTCTATGGTCAAAACAAAACAAAATCAATAACATTTTACTAACAAAGTCCTTCAAAATGCATTTGAAATTCGATTGCTCTTTATATCCAGTCTACTTAGACCATATTTAGACCTCAAGGTGGTTGGGTCCATCGCCCACGTGTTAGGCACTAAATGGTAATAGGTACCTATGTATTTGCAATACTCGATACATAGCTAATGAAAATATATAAACCAATTTGTCTATCTAGTTCAAGGCGATTTACAAACTTGATTGGAATAATTTTTGCTTTGTTTAAGTTAGTTAAATTGTTGTGGATCTGCCTGCTTCTACGCCTGATGCTTTTTAAACTGTCAAACACTAAGCGGTCACCGGTGACCGCAACCTATTGTTCTTTAATTGTGTCTATAAATACGGTACTCGACGAGTTAACTTATTAAGTAAGAAAACTAGATATTTGTTACCTAAATTATGATTGTCAGCATTTAACATCAAAGATTAAACGATTACGTCTCAAATAAACATGCTAAAAGTATCAAAATATTGATTACACAAACTTCTAAAAAGAAAGTTTAGGTTTATATAAATCACCTTAAAATAAATACCATATTTTAGTAAAAAGTGCTAAAAATACCCGTTCACTATTTTTCATTGACACATAGACAACCTAACCTATTCAATTACCCCTATTTCCTCGAAATTACATCACACAGATGACGTAACATCCACCCTTGTATTGTACATAGATTGGTTTTCTAGAACGCACCACATACAAAAAGGTAGCAAGTACCTAGTGTCCTGATTGGCTGACTCACGGTTTGCACTCGTCTCGTGCGCCGGCGCAGCTATCTTTTGCACACGTTTTGTAACAATGTTTATTATAAATTCAGACGCGACTCGCTTATCAGTACCGTTACTACTCTGCTACAGATTACTCGTGTACTGATAGTAATATTCCAAACAAACAATTGCTTTTGTTTCTTGTTTTCGTGGAAAAATTCTCTTTTGGAAAATGTAAGTTTTGATTATCTTTTTTTTCTTATTGTTTAGTTTTATGGACAGAGCTTCCCTTTTTGCCTTAAGGTTCTATATTGTCTCTTTGTTATCCTTTAGGTTATTTATTTATGGTGAATATGTTATTGGTGTTCCTTATCAGTGCAACTGTTAATTAGTAATGTAAATATGTAAGTGTGTACTAATATTAGGTTCAATGTTCCAGTCTAGTGATACGTGTAAGGACTTTCCTTGAGAATTAAACAGGCTTTTAAAATATTTCTTTGATTAAATTCTTTGGTAGTAACCGGAGTGTTTGGAAAGTAAATCGCATGTTTTGATGAATTAGAATCAATTTAGGTACTACCTACTACAATTAATGGCTTCATTTAGAACGTTCTAATTTCCTACATCTCCATCCGTATAGAACTACCACTCTACGAGGGTGACTGTGAAAATATATTTTGTTATTTTTTTTCAGAACCAACAATGCCTTGCTGCAAAGTTTCCGTCAAAAAATCCATGGTTTGCTCCATCAGCGATTGCATCTGCATTCCAACTGATGGAAAACCCTTCCTCTGCTTGAGCAAGGACGAGAACGGGAAGATAGTTCCCTGCTTCGACTGCAAGGCCGTTCAAGTGGACGACAACGAATGGAAGTGTGTTGATACTTCTTGCATCTGCCTCCCGACTGACGGGAAGTCTTGTCTGTGCATTTGCACCGACGAGGAAGATACCATCAAGTCCTGTGACGACTGCACTTGCATCAACGCTGAAGAATGCAAGAAGGAGTTCAAGAAGTGCAACAAACCTGGGTGCGTTTGTCTTCCAACTGATGGTAAAGATACCATCTGTGTCTGCAAGAAGAATGGGAAGATCGTTCTGTGCGAATGCAATGGTGCTGGCACGTGTGGCAGCGCCACTTGTGTCTGCGTGTCTACCGAAGGCGCCAAATGCGTGTGCCTCTGCTGCGACGCAAAAGGCAACATAAAAGTCTGCAAAGATTGTACCTGCGATTCGAAGAAGAAAGACTCCCTGATTTGCAACAAAGAAGGTTGTGTATGCATCATAACGGATGGGAAACCTTGCGTCTGTGTATGCAAGAATGGTGAGGGAATGATTGTGCGATGTGATGATTGTGAGTGTGATGGTTCTGGCAAGTGTGACAAGCCAGATTGTGTTTGTATTCCGACTGAGGGTGAGAAGTGTATTTGTGTGTGCTGTGATGATAAAGGTAATTTTAGGATCTGCAAAGATTGTACTTGCGAAGCTAAGGAGAAGGAAGTCCTGAAGTGCAATAAGGCTGAGTGTGTTTGCATCTTGACTGATGGTAAATCTTGCATCTGTGTATGCAAGAACAGCGAGGGAAAGATTGTTCGCTGCGATGACTGCAAGTGTGATGGTTCTGGCAAGTGTAACAAGCCAGAATGTGCTTGTCTCCCGACTGAGGGAGCCAAGTGCGTTTGCGTCTGCTGTGATGAGAAAGGAAACTTTAAGGTGTGCAAGGACTGTACTTGTGATGTTAAAGATGCTTCTATTCCCAAATGTAGCAAAGCCGAATGTGTTTGCATTTTGACGGATGGCAAGTCTTGTATCTGCGTATGCAAGAATACCGAGGGAAAGATTGTTCGATGCGATGACTGCAAGTGTGATGGTTCTGGCAAGTGTGACAAGCCAGAATGTGCTTGCATCCCGAGTGAGGGAGCCAAGTGCGTGTGTGTTTGTTGTGATGAGAAAGGCAACTTTAAGATCTGCAAGGACTGTACTTGCGATGTCCAGGAGATGGTCGCTCCTAAATGCAGCAAAGCTGATTGCGTTTGCATCTTGACTGATGGTAAATCGTGCATCTGTGTATGCAAGAACAGCGAGGGCAAGATTGTTCGCTGCGATGACTGCAAGTGTGATGGTTCTGGCAAGTGTGACAAGCCAGAATGTGCTTGCATCCCGAGTGAGGGAGCCAAGTGCGTGTGTGTTTGTTGTGATGAGAAAGGCAACTTTAAGATCTGCAAGGACTGTACTTGCGATGTCCAGGAGATGGTCGCTCCTAAATGCAGCAAAGCTGATTGCGTTTGCATCTTGACTGATGGTAAATCGTGCATCTGTGTATGCAAGAACAGCGAGGGCAAGATTGTTCGCTGCGATGACTGCAAGTGTGATGGTTCTGGCAAGTGTGACAAGCCAGAATGTGCTTGCATCCCGAGTGAGGGAGCCAAGTGCGTGTGTGTTTGTTGTGATGAGAAAGGCAACTTTAAGATCTGCAAGGACTGTACTTGCGATGTCCAGGAGATGGTCGCTCCTAAATGCAGCAAAGCTGATTGCGTTTGCATCTTGACTGATGGTAAATCGTGCATCTGTGTATGCAAGAACAGCGAGGGCAAGATTGTTCGCTGCGATGACTGCAAGTGTGATGATTCTGGCAAGTGTGACAAGCCAGAATGTGCTTGCATCCCGAGTGAGGGAGCCAAGTGCGTGTGTGTCTGTTGTGATGAGAAAGGCAACTTTAAGATCTGCAAGGACTGTACTTGCGATGTCCAGGAGATGGTCGCTCCTAAATGCAGCAAAGCTGATTGCGTTTGCATCTTGACTGATGGTAAATCGTGCATCTGTGTATGCAAGAACAGCGAGGGCAAGATTGTTCGCTGCGATGACTGCAAGTGTGATGATTCTGGCAAGTGTGACAAGCCAGAATGTGCTTGCATCCCGAGTGAGGGAGCCAAGTGCGTGTGTGTCTGTTGTGATGAGAAAGGCAACTTTAAGATCTGCAAGGACTGTACTTGCGATGTCCAGGAGATGGTCGCTCCTAAATGCAGCAAAGCTGATTGCGTTTGCATCTTGACTGATGGTAAATCGTGCATCTGTGTATGCAAGAACAGCGAGGGCAAGATTGTTCGCTGCGATGACTGCAAGTGTGATGGTTCTGGCAAGTGTGACAAGCCAGAATGTGCTTGCATCCCGAGTGAGGGAGCCAAGTGCGTGTGTGTTTGTTGTGATGAGAAAGGCAACTTTAAGATCTGCAAGGACTGTACTTGCGATGTCCAGGAGATGGTCGCTCCTAAATGCAGCAAAGCTGATTGCGTTTGCATCTTGACTGATGGTAAATCTTGCATCTGTGTATGCAAGAACAGCGAGGGAAAGATTGTTCGATGCGATGACTGCAAGTGTGATGGTTCTGGCAAGTGTGACAAGCCAGAATGTGCTTGCATCCCGATTGAGGGAGCCAAGTGCATTTGCGTCTGCTGTGATGAGAAAGGAAACTTTAAGGTTTGCAAGGATTGCACTTGTGGAAAACTAACTGTCTGCAAGGACTGTTCTTGCTGTGACAAGGACTGTGACAAAGATTGTGTGTGTTTCTTGACACAGGGAAAACCTGTCATTCGTGTCTGCAAGAAAGATGTAAAATTAGCAGTATGCAAGGATTTTCTGAATGATGAAGCTTGCAAGTGTGAGGAGTGCTGCGTGTTGATTGGCACTCATGGAAAGAAATGCGTGTGTGTGTATAAGGATGAAAATAATCGTATCGTTATGTGCGACAAATGTGACTGCGCATAATCACTATTGTAAAACATTCATATGTTTAATGATAATATTATCACTATGGTTACGGTTGTATTTTTAGGTAATCCATGATAAGATTGTATTGTTTTTTTTTTATAATTTTTACTCTGGTGATGGGTGTAGGTGTGGGGCATTTAAAATATTATTGTATACTTTTTATCGTTTTAGTCTTTGTTTTGATATATGTCTTTGACTTTTTTTGGAACTTTTGTAATCTTTTCTTTTTATGAATTAAATAAATAATAAAATTAAAAAATAACCGTTTTGTTATTTATCGTATCGTTCTTATTATTTCATGTTAATCATTCTCAAATTCATTTCTACCAATAGTAGAAATTAGCAGACGTTAAATGCACTAAAATCAATGCTACAAATCTTCACAATAATTTATTATACCTTTGACCTTTTTATATGTAATTAAATAAATATACCGTCGCACAACTGTAAAAACATAAATCAAACATAAACGAAATTATCCTCAGTTCTTTTGACGGACAGGTTGTGTCAATTAAAAAGACGTTTGATAGAATATACCTGTTTAGATAAGTGTGATAAGTATGTAGGTACAGACGAAATCTTAATGATTAGATAGAGGTCTGTACCTAAATACTTGGTTTAAAGTAAAATGACTTCAAACTCTATCTTTTTTGAAGTCAGTCAATGTTCAATAAACCTTGCGGACAAAGGTATGTACATACATAGGTACAGGTCCAACTAAAAATCCTTCGATTATTGAGTCGATTAAAAATACAACAGTCGTTTTTCATGTTATGGGAACCAAAGGACTAAAAAATACTTTTTTCTGTGTCAGGAATCGAACTAGAGACCTTCACACCACCAACGATACACCCAAGCATTCATTTCCACTACAATTATGACCTCGTATTATGTCAGCTTTCCGTACGTCATATTTTTTGACAAGTAAATGACGTAAGCATTTGAGTTGTCAAAATGACAGTGACAGACAATATGGCTGACGGCTGCCGTCGTGGGTGGTATTTATATTATGAAGTAGTTTTTTTTCTGTTGTTTCGTTTTGATACTTAATTATTTATTATTTGGTGTATTGTTTGAATAATATCAACATGGTTTCGATGAGTAGATAGAGGTAAAATAATGTACACTATTATCTAAATGACTGTATCAAATTAGATAATCCCTTTTTGTGGCGTTCGGTATTGTTACCTTATGCCAAGGTTACCTACTAGGACAGTACCAGGAAAATAGGAGAATAGGAACTCATTTGAAACCAGAACCGGTCGATTATTATAGGTTTAGACAGCTATATTAGACATAGTATTTATTACCATCATACCAATTAGTCCGACACTAGACGGAACAACAACTGAAATGTGTGTTAAGGTACGACAAGAAACGATGTAATATTAATTTATATACGACCAAAATCTAGATCTCGACTAAAACACGTAATTAAGTACGTAAGTAAGCTAATAAAATGAAATATTTATTATTTCGTTCAATTTAAATTGTTTCTGTTATTGCAATATATGCATATATGTTCATTTACTTTCACATTTATATTTACACATACGCTTTTAGAAAATGAGAACGAATTGCGTACAGAGATATTAAAAGTGAAAAGAAACAAACAAAATATAACGCCTGTTTAACCCTGATGTAGGCAGGTAGGTAGAGGGTGTAACACTGATTTTTCTATCACTTGTGGACGGCGAGCAAGGGTAGGCGCTGGCTGCCCGACTAGAAACAGACCTGCACGGGACTAATCGGATCATGGGTACCACGCATCGTATTTCACTTGCGCCTCAAAGAATCAGACCACCACATATGGGGCCCAGTAGAGCTGATGCCCGATGCAGAGCTGCGAAAGACTAGTTGCCGGGGCTTTGGCTCGAAGAACAGAAGTAGGAACAGGGTGGTTTTTAGACCTTTTAGTCAGAATCGGAAGCTTCCTGTCACCTCACCTAAGGCGGGGGAAGTCATTGGATTATTTTACCCTTTCAAAAAGAAAGGGTTATGAGTTTTTTGTAACAGAACCGGTCAAAATAATTATTAAACATCGTGTTATTACTTAGAGTTTTCTGTAAATCAAAAAATTCAAAAAAAATTTGAAACGCGATACCTTACCTCAGCAGTAAAACTTGATAATTTAAATATAAAACAATAAAGTAGAAAATCACTTAAATAATGTTGTACCCTGACGTCTGCACACATCGTCACGCTTGTCTAACATAATAGGATAAGCTGAAAGTCTTAAGACAATGCACCTCTTAGGTGTCCTGATTTCCCCTTTGTTTTGGTGTTGATTTATCTTCATATGGAGTTTCTATAAACATTTCTCAAAACAAAAGCCACTCAAGACCCTCGCAATAAAGTTGTAACTTCTCTGGTTTTGCGGGTGTGTCTTAATGGCATTGTAGTAGAATGACATTGCCTTATTGCCATTATTATAAAACTTTGCATTAGAAATAATTTTCGAAAAACTACTACTAAATTTGAACATTTATTCATGCCAGATGTTATTTATATTTTATTTTACAAAATATCTCGAGTGTTATGTGCGATCTGATGCATCTGTCATTACGTACGAGATTACCATTTAATGTCATTACTTTCAACGGCATGTCAGTGGTTGACCATTGGAAAGTCAAAATATCATCATTACATTTAGTACAGTAGATTACCAAACTTGTCAAAATCAACAATTTTGAAATTAATGATCGATCATTCTGACACTATTGTAACAGCAGACCTGAGGCCCAGGGCCTTTAGCCAAACGCCACTTTAGCGGTTGTCTACAGAGAGAGTAGAAATTAAAATGAATGGGGATGACACTGACAAGTGTCAAAATTTACGTCAATTCCATATAATTTGGTTTTCTATTCTACATGTAGACAAGCGCTAAATGGCATTTGGCTACAGTTGGGAGCTATGGCACCAAACAGAATAGAAACAGGAATAACCTTTTGAGTAGCATACCAATTAAGCACTTTATAGTTGTAGTGTTTAAAACGATTGATGTCTAGTCAGTAATTAACAGGAAAATCTTTGAAGAAAATTAGCTTCGTAAACACCATCGAGACAACAAGAATTTGGGAGCTATATCCTCTAATATTTCCTAGTATTCTGCAGTTTTATGATGGGGTTCTAAATCAACTAATCTTATTTAATGTGTCATGTTGCTCACCATGGATTAGTTTGGGTATGATATCATTTATACTTGTGATTCCCCGAATGAATATAACAAGATTTCTTTCCTGATATTATTTAAAAAAAGTAATCGCTGTATTTCTTTGTTTTGTAATATTTCTTTTTTGTTGTATTTTAGTATTTTCGATTATTAAGTTTAGTTCAGCCAAGAATTTGTATATTATTGTGTTTCTTTATGATTTTGTTATGTTTGGCCTAGCTATCGCAATGGAGAGACCTGTTATGATAGTTTAGATAAGGCTTTATATAAATAAATAAAAATATCCCCAAGGAAAGTGGGGCACTTTTCGGTAGACAAATTGGTGCATTGGACTCAAAGTTATGTCTGAGCGATATTATGTTCTTAGTTGGGAAAGGCCTATGTTTATCAGCGGCCATCTTATCTTGTATCTTATTTTATACTTTTTCTTGTAACAAAGCTAAAGAGTGTGTTTGTTTGTTTCAACGTGCTAAGCGCCGGAACTACAGGTCCTATTTGAATACTTCTTTTTGTGTTGGATAATGCATTTATTAATGAAGGCTATAAGACATCAGCTACGACCAATAGGAGTCAAGAGTAGAAGTACCTAGTAGAGTAGCTGATATGACGACGAAAGATGGTAGGTAGTCTTAGGATTTTCACCATTCCATAATTGACATTAATAATGAAAAGAATAAAATCATAGCTTGGCAATAGTATGCTCCATGTTCTGTTCTGTGTAGTTAATGTCATTAGATTTATCTTCATATCCCAAAATGTTTTGTAATCTTACTAGTGTTATAAATGCGAATGTTTATTACATTCTTTTTAAGAAAAAAGAGAAGGAAGTAAGAAAATATTTGGAGGTATTCTTGGTATCAATACAGTCATCCTCTTTAATAATAACGAAACTAGCAAAGACTTACAAAGGCTTTGTCAACATACATAGGATGTTTAAACATCCATAGTGACACGAGTGACGTCACTCTTGTAACATAAAAACATTGTCACTTCATCACAGAACTTATAGGTCGAGTTATTAAGGAAAACATAATACAACCGGTTTGTAACAAATACATACTGTTTGTAGTTACTTTGTATGTATCGTTAATCTAAGAATAAATTGTATAATCTTGCAAAGTAGTTATTGACGTTCATAGGATGGGATCGTTATTTTAATGGTTTTGATTTTATGATAGACTAGAGACCCGCCCCGGCTTCGCACGGATGCAATATGCATGTATTATACATATAAACCTTTCCTTAATAATCACTCAAGTTACGTAGTTTTAAAGAACTAAGCATACATAGGGACAGACAGATGACGGATAGCGACTTTGTTTTATACTATGTAGTGATACCGCTATTTGTTTTCTCGTAGATAGGTTTAGCTAATTCAGGTGATTCAATTTTTCAATAAGATAAAATTCTTTTTAATATGGGATACGATAAAGGTCTAAAGAAAAGGATTAAAATTATATTTAGATATAACGAATCAAAGTTGAAGAGTGGGGGCTTAATCGTCATTTCTACGTATAAAATGTACATAGAAGTGACGTCATGCGACATTTCGAATCAATATTTCTTCGAAACTATTCGTTTCTGTAAAAAATCAAAAATGTTTGTTGTTGTTTCAAATTTTTTTAAATAATTTACCAGACGGACATTAAAATAAAAATTAGTCATCTACCCCACTAAAGTCAAGTAGCCAAATGGGGCTTATCGTATCTTTTTCTCACCAGCCAACGCTAATGTGAAACACTCGTTCTTCGTCCAATAGGGAATTAGATATTGCTACACCAGTGGACGTTCAATATTTGACAGCTGTTGTGATTGGACAAAATAATCCTACCTATATTTACCTATTCTCAAAAAATAATGTATAAAATTATAAAATAAAATTACCTGGATTGGGCATACCCAATCATCGATCACTAAATGACTTAACTTTGGCAAGAACGTTCTTGAAACTGATCTAAATAACGAGGCGAATTTTGGGTGTCAGATGACTAATTTTTATTTTAATGTCCGTCTGGTAGATTATTTAAAAACATTA